CCATATTGCCATCAACTACAGATGATGTACATCAGTCCAAAACTACCGGTCGATTTGGTGCATGTGCCTAGATCCCGGCCATGCTTTAGTGCGCGCACGCTTGACGTTCACTGTTCCCGCTTTAAAGAAGCGGCTATCTTCTAACCTTTTTACTGGCAACTTGAGCTCACAACCTGCGATTGAACAATATCACGACGAACTGGCCCACCAATTGTGAGTGATGAATGAGGTTGGTGAACCAAACGCTGACTGGGATCGTCTTAAATGTGCTGTGAAGAATGCCTTTGATGCATACTGTGAACCCAACTTGAAACGTCGTAACTGAGAACAGATATCTGAAACATCGATCAGCTTGATCGAACCACGTAAACAATTTTCAGCTTGTCCATAACTCTCTGAAACGACGCATCGCCAGGAGTTTTCGAATCGACTGGGAATGTTGGTAGATAAGAATATCCCGTGAGATGGGGAAACACAGTGCTACTTGGAACAGCCGAGTGCTATTCCAGCTCATCCGGAACACGGGTTTGATAAAGCTATCAGTTAGCGAGACAATAGCTGATCCATTCTCAGCGTCGTCGACTAGTTCGCTGGGTGGAACATTTTGAAGAGCAGTTCAGCAGGTCTGCCGCAACATTGCCACTTGCCGAATCGTCTGCGTCGACGTGAGAAGTTGATGTCATACTACCTACTTTGGAAGAGATTCGACATGGGCTTTCTGTGTTGTAACGAAGCAATGCTCTTGGAGCAGACGACCTTCCCCCATCTTTTCTGAGAGATGGTGGTGACCTTTTGTTGACTGGACTCGCTACTCTGTTGAACAAGATTGCTAACAGTGAAGCGGAGCCTTCAGATTGGCGATTGTCAACTGTCGTGCTCATATTCAAGAGAGGTCAGCGTACTTTTGTGAAAATCCTCAGGGCATTAGCCTTGTTTCCAATGCATCCAAACTCCTCACGAGTATCATTTTCTGAGGACTTATTGGTCCTCGTGAGAACTGAATCACTGAAAGCCAAGCTGGCCTCCAACCCGGTCGTGGTTGCATTGACTACATATTTAATCTTCGCCAAGTGTCAGGAGCAGAGACACATACAGACGACCGACTATGGTGGCTTTCTTTGACTTGAAAGCTGGCTTATACTCTTTTGACCGCGTCAGATTGTGGTACTGCCTATCCATGAAGGACGTACCGGATAAACTGCTTTCCATTCTTAAGTTTCTCTACCGTGATTTCCGAAAAGGTGTAAGGGTCTACGGGAAACTATCCCCCGAATTCTTCACGACAAGTAGGGTTTGCCATGGTTGTCCTATATCTCCTTTCCTCTTCAACTTTGTTATCGAAATGATAGTGAGTGAATCTGTTCCTTCAAACTCTACCGGAGTGAAAGTTCTGCCAGACAACCGACTGACAAACCTGGAGTATGCGGAGGACGTATCTATTCTTGGGACTGATGCAATGGCTATGCAAACACTGCTGGATAGACTGTCGCGCAGAGTCGCACGCTTCGCCATGTGTTTTGCACTTTCAAAGTGCAAAGTACTGCTGTAGGACTGGACCGACACACTTCCGGTTCTAGCTATCACAGAACGTTCACTGGAATAGGTGGATCGGTTCACTTACCTTGGTAGGCATGTCACCTCTGATGGTCACATCAATTAGGAATTTACTTCGTGTATCAGCAAGGCCCGTGTGATTTTGCAGAGGCTCAAACATTTGTGGTGACTCTTGGATATCAGCCTGGCAGTCAAATGTAGGGTGTATAAAGCTGCGGTAAGGCCGGTGTTGCTGTATTGATCAAATACCTAGTTAGTTTGCGGCGAAAACATTAAACGTTTATCCGTGTTTGATCACCGGTGCTTGCGGAGTACTGCCCACATCAGGTGGGAACACCGGATGTGCAATGCTGTGGTCCGCCAGTTGGTTTGACAAGAAGCCATGTAGTGTCTCACTCGGATGTTTGGTGAATCCTAATCACTTACGTTGGCTAGGCCATGTACTACGTATGCTTGTTGACCGGCTTCCTCGGCGTGCATTATAAGCCGTGGCTGCACCAGGTTGGGCGAAACCGCGAGGTTTTCAGTCCATGACGTGGCATAGAAGTACGAAGAAATGGAAAGAGACTTGGTCGGGCAGGTGCGTGGAAGAGGGCCTCGGGATGCTCCACACTAATGGTTGGAGACCGTATCAGAAATGACACAGTCAGTGGCGTTCCTGCACTCGTCTTCTTGCAGTTGGTTGTTAATTTTCGTCCCATTCCAATTAGTCTAACGTACTTCCAACTTGCTTCCACTTCATTTACATTCTATATGCCTTAAGCCCCATTATCTTGCCGTTGTTATTGATTGTTATTCTTGCGATGTGAGTCGTGGAAATTGGATCCACCGCACTTCGGTGCTTGGATCATAGTTGATCAACTGAACTTAACTGTCAGGAGACCAAGTAAAAAAAAAACGGATTCCTTAGTCGGCTTCATCTGATGGTCAAGCATTGTATAACATGCTGATGCGGAGCGCTGTATACTCACGCAGGTGGTACCAAACATCAAAATGCGAAGTTCTGTTTCAAGACCACGCCGACACCCCATCAATTCTCACAATAATTGGACAACCACTGTAGGTAGTCGTTCAAATTACATATCTGGCAACTACATCATCTCTGGTGAACGCATGATGCAAGTGATTTGTGTGCGAACTGGTAGCTCCCATGTGGCTTTCGTAGTTTGCTTTATAAGTAGCTTTTGAGCTACTGGGATGAAACATTAAGACTTTAATTGGTTAGCTAAGAGAAGGATGCGAACTTGTACAGCGCAACCAGTTCGATTGAAATATGTGGCCGTTTCTTGCTAGACACTAATAGCTTGGTAACATGTGACCACAAAATCTCGCCCAAGTATTTCGAGGATATCCGGACAGGAGGTACAGCGCTGGCGCATCAGTCGAACTCGAACTAATGATTGGGTTACAGAAATCGTACTGTTTACCCATGCTACACATAACTGAGTGAAGTTGCCAGTTGATTAGCTGTCGACTTTACCGGAGCGCACCAACACACTGCCTGCTGGCGCCTTTTTTCAAAGGACACTTTCTCAAATGTGATTTTAGTACTGAATTAATTGTGGGAAACTTAGATTGGCCATAATGATTACAAAATATATAGGATCGGTGTCTTTTCTGAAAGTTCAATCAAACAATAATAAATTTTTCAGTAAATCAATGCTTCAAATCCCATTTTAAGAAGTGTCTTTAAAAAACGCCGCCAGAAAATCCCAGGACTGCTGACTAGGAGAGAGCTGTCAGACACCTGAGTGGTTAGATACCTTGTCCGATATTTCACAGTCTCTAAGTATCCGGTGCCCTTACATTCGTCCCCATAGCCCTGGCTCTTAACTACTCCAGCCTACAATATTACGTTTTTATTCATTTTTTTGCACTTGCGTTCTTCGCTGCTTATATACTATCATTTCTGGCGACGAGAATCCGCTGCACCTCGGTGCAAAGATCCCAGTTGATAAATTAGACTGAACCAACTGCTGTTGTCGGCTGCCTCGAAGTTGGTTCACTCTGAAGGACGCTGAAGACTACTTGCTGCTGATTCGGAATACCTGTAGCTCGGGTTGGTAGTTAACGTTTTGATTCGTTCTCCGAGCTGAGTAATTTAATGTCAAACGTTTCACCACTTCCCTCAGTGGCATCTTCAGATACAGTGTGTGTGATCGACCATATACTTTACAGATAGTCAGGGTCAGTGGTTTCTTCGAATGTTACTTGAGCGTGGTAAAAACAATCGGTTAGGTAGACCCACTACTAATAAACTGCTGAGCAACAACAGACAACAGCAAGAATAGGTATATTTCTCATCAAGTGGGAATCTACGTTCATATTTGGCACAGATCATATATATCCACAGGTGAAACCATGCTCTTGCATGGGCGATATGAAGTTATTATTACTAACGGTATATTCCTCGACAGTACGAGGCACAGTCCAACTGAATGTGTCTGATCATTATGCACAGGGGGATCACATGGAATATACTGTTTTCATGTTTTCCAGATCAGTTCTCAAACTACTGGAGGGTTCATTGATTAAGATGCAACACTGCATTGCACTGCGGCGACGTTCTCAAAACCGTAATTAAGTACTGATTTCGCAGTGAACTGAAGCTAGGCGCTGCAGCCCCAAGAAGCGATTTCGGTGTTCGGTTTCTTAATGATCACGGTTGGAACCTTCCGTCAGATAGAAGTTCGTTTTTACAGAACAAAACCCAAGAAACATCCCAGCACATATGTAACTCTGACCTAGTGAGTAGTAGCCCTTAGATGTATCAGGCTCGAGCAATTTAATCCCGAGAACTATACAGACCAAGCTAAAATATTTGTCAAGTTACGGTTAGTCGATAATGCGAAACGGTCTGCTCCACTTAATTTCCTGTTTTTGTTAATAATGTGCGGATTCAAAGCTCTGCGCGGAACTCTGACAAATTCCGTTACGGCTGGTGCCACACCGAAAGAAAAACAGTTTAAATGGGTCATCACAAACGGTATAGTAGCGCAAAAATACAAGATGGTTACCATCATCATCGCACCAATGTAAGCCTTTGTGCTGGAGATCTCAGAAGTACCGCGGCCGTGTGGCGCAAAAACGATAGAAAAAGAGGTTATGTAACCTTGCCATCCTCATACCACCGCCTCCACGTATCGACTCTACACAATGGGGCTGCGATGGATTAGCGAGGTGATAGCAGAGATATCAAGTACAGTCGAGAATCCGTGCGCGTGGCGCATCATTTAAAGCATTGAAGTCATGTGCACCACCTAGTCACAGTAAACTCAAATGCTGCGGCAGCATCACTGACAAGGATGTGGAGACACGGTCATTTGCAGTAAAAATATATCCTTTGTATACGTTGATAAAAAGCGTACTGTACAAGGATCTATTTAGATCCAGTCCATAAAAAACAAAAAACGGCGCCGGATAAAAAGCTGTAACAAAAAGTCGGGTCAAAAAATAAGAAAGTTTTCGTGCCCCAAAAACTTTGCAGCAAAATTCGCCCCATCGGCCGTAATATCACAGAATGCCGTCTGAGAACGTTTGAGAGGATGCCCGTGAATAAAATTAGCAAGGATGCAATCCAGAAGCCTTGTTGCCACACCTTTTCTTCGATGGCGTTTATCGACCCAAAGCCGACGAATGCCGCACAGAACTGAGAAATCAACTGAGTTTTCAGAATCAGTTGCTTGATAAGCCACCATCCGGTCATCCTGCGATGACCGGTTTTCCACATTTTGAACCCACCAAGTCAGCAAACTAGGGAGCCCTCCCACTAAGGGGCGCACGTGGTAACCCTTGGATGAAACAGAAGACTTTGTTAGCAGTTGGACCACACAACAACCGATAACCTGTTGGTCACCATCTTTGACGCAAGCAAACACGCGCCAATCTTCGGGAATCGAGGAATCACTATGGGAATCAATTGACCGCAGCTCATCTGCCGGCCGATCGGAGCCCAAGTCGCGGTTCATCACGTCTGCAATGCGTGAAAAATAGGCAGCCCCAAGACGGTCCGAAAGAATGAGTTCAGCGATGCGGGTACCGTTTAAGTGCTCCTCTAAGATCCGCTGGTGACCACCACGAGGGAGCTGTGAAAAGTAAAGTATAAGATAGAAATAGCTCAATACTGAGTCCAAAGTGGTGATGAGTATAACAAAAGCTAGATTGGAGAGGTTCAAAGCACATCAGGTGGCTGTGAAAACAATGTTGGTAAATAGAAATTCAGAGAATCAAGAGTCGATCGTCACTGCGAACATGGAAACATTCAGCTGGTATAAAATATCACGACACAATGCCATACGAAGATCGGTACACCATTTGACATAGCTCAGTGTGAGCAAACAGATGAGAAAGCATGGCTAGAGCCTAGTCCTATGCACTGGAAATCCGAAAGTCGTGCTGCTGTAGTAATCACATGGTTTTACATAACTTCGTACCAGTCGCGCCTTCCGTCCTCCAATTTTGCCATACATGTTGCCGTGGAACGATTACGCGATGCGTCATTGGCGACAAGGTTAACAGTTGGTAGTCAACTCTGTTCTACCCAAGAAACACCGTTACCAGGTCGACGATTGCGTGATTTCCTTAACGATACCGTTGTTGGGCGGTAACTACGTCACTATGATAACTACGTTCCACTATCAAGTAGGAAATATGCAACCCTTAAAGTAACGAGACCAATCTTGCTATAAACACCAGATTGTACAAATCGTGTTCGCCTCTGGCTTGAGCAGCAAAAGCGCCCCCTCACCTGAAGGTTCTTGTCTTTTTCACACACAAGATCTCGAATTGCCGTGCCGTGTCTATGTTTGTCTCGGTAGAATGAAGTCGAACCGTTGGCGCATCCATCCGAATTCGAAGACACTATTCCGAACGAGGCACAGTAACAAGCGCCGAATCGCTGTCCCCACTAGGGGCGTTGTATCCAAACGAATGTGATACATTACAGACTCATACAACTACTCTACCGTCGCAATAAAGATGTCAGCGAGTATGAGACTAAGTGGATTTCCAATAGCCAGGTCATCAGCCTGTCGATCGGTTCCTAACAATGTCGTGCCGTGGACCCATGTCCTGGAAGCCACTTTGTTGTGACCGATGAGTTATATCCTGCTTTTAGCTAAGAGCCATAAAATGCAGTTCCGCGCGAGTCGGTTCACTGACACATGGCGCGTGGCCCTCTGTTCCTCGGGAACACATTTCATCGAAGGTTGGTTGAGGAACCGAGTCGTTCTCATGTTAGGTGTGGACGCCCTGACAATACACCAGCCCAAAACCAAACCATGGATCACACCTCCCTCCCTTACCAGTGGTGAGGAAGGGAAACGTTTCGCCCTTTCTGATGAATACAGCGGGGTAGATAAGAGAAAACATGCTACCGCCGTAATCTCCCTTCGCTCATCTTCCCCTATACATTCCGTCCTAGTTCCAAATTCACCTAACCCACCAACTTCTCAAATCCAGGTGATCGCACACGTGATTGCCCGCCAGCACAATCGCATGCCTCTGCAAAAGCACTTAACGTCGGGTGCTGGAATGTCGGCAGACGCGTTCGGTCCTTATGGTATTAGCTCAGCTAATGGAAACGGCGACGGGCTGCTCATGGCTTGAAAAGCACCAACAAAAAGCTTGTACTATGGCACGTGACATTGCTACTTGGCTGGCTTGCTCGTGGTGCCAGCTGGGTAGTTCGGGATTATCTCGTTCCAGCAAATGGTTGGGCGGCAATGTTCCCCGAACAGGTGGGTTTTTGCCTGGCAAGCGTTCTCCCTATAAAAGCCATGTATGTCCGTTTAACAACACCGTGACGTGGCGGATGTGACTCGCCACTAAATAAAGCCACTGCCCCTTGCCTCTCTCAGAGTGGTATTGTAATCCAAATGTGTTGGGCCTTTGTTCCTGTGGAGGACCTAAACGCATAGAAACAACTTGCTTAGTCACCGGTTACCAACAGGTAGCGATACCCTCATATCGCGCTGTTGCGCTGTGGTTTAGATCCTTGATCAAAGCTTCGGGTTAGGGCCCCCGACACAACCCTCTACTTCGGCTTGGACAACCTGATAGTATCACGCCCACTGACGAATGATGATGGATTCTCTACTACTATTTTCGATCTTGCTACGTCCACTGGCTTTTCTGTCTCCACTGCTCAACGTCAACTCACAGATCACCCCGTCCTGTCCTTCAACTACACTTATGCCCTTCCAGGTCACCTTTCAGGTCGCACCTGATGGCAGCGTCAGACTCCCGGTGTACGATGCCCGGCGATCACAGCTTTCTCACACTCCAACGAGGCTCCACTTCTCTTCTAACTGGTTCTCCGTTCGGCCTCTCATCATTCAATGTTCGCAATCTGATGCAGATCGGACGGCAAGGACGTCTGATCAGCATTCTTGAGACGCTCTCGGTAGACATTTGCTGCCTTTCGGAAACCAGATTGCAAGACTCCATTACCGTCATCACAATAACCTCTCAGGCAAATCCTAGTGCCAAATACCATTTGCACCCATTCGGGGACCCAGAGACTGCCGCTTCTGGCCAGGCTGTGTGATGGTGGCTGAAAGCTGGGGCGAACCGAATCGCCTGCCTCAGTGCGGTCGATCAGACGATCGATCGAGCGAACGAGTGAGTTTTTGTATATACAGCTTTATGTACTTTGTCTCAGAGTTGCGAACAGAACGTTTGTCGGCAGAACAGTGTGAGCTCTTTCTTTTGACGCGGCTAGTGCTGGGGTTGCTCTGAGCGACAAGGCTGAGATCGCTCTGCATGACTGGATCCCAGACAAGTCGGCTGTGTGCGATCAGACTACGAAGTTCATGTAGGTTAAGTAAGCGTCGAGATGTTAAGCGTTCCTTATCTATCTTCGCCGCCTACGCTCAGGCTGCAGTCAAGGATTACTATTATCAACAACTGCATGATTTTCTGCGTTCTTCCAAAAAGTCTGATATCGTCATTATTGCTGGAGATTTTAACGCAAGAATGGGCCGCCTGCCACCAAGCGAGCACCATCATTGGGGCTAGTTTTGGTTTCGGTAATAGTCGATCGGACATTGGAAACACTACGGATTATTCTGAGCACCAGTTTTCGACACTCGACGAAAAGACTGCGCACGCCTTCTAAAATGCATAAATGGACCCGGCTTGAACACAGCAATACGCTACAGATGACGAACAAGCGTAACAGGCTATCGATCGTACTGGTCAACTAGTCTGCACTCCGATCACGCATAGGTTCGTGCTAAGGTTTGCATGCATTTCGGAAGATCGCCCAGGCGTACACGTTACCGGCCGAACGTCGAAAATCTGCAAAACCCTACGACGTTTACCATTACCAAGCTTCTTTGTCGATATTGCTTGCGTCAGCTTCTGACGATGATCTGAATTCACAATGGGTGCGCATCAAAGATGCCTTAGTTACTGCCAGTATTGATAACTGTGGAGTTACTTGTCACCCGCAAAAAACTGGACCACCGCTGTCTTCTTGTCGCTGAGTGACAGACGCCGTTCGGTCCTGGATGACACAACCTATAGCGACGAATGTCGATCCATGGATTGACACAGAAGTTTGCAAAAGGACTGTGAAGCCTGGTAATGTGAACGTGATAGAAAGATGGAAGTTGCGAATCACTCTGGTAATACCAGAAAATTCTTCCATCTCATCCGAGTCAACGAAGGTATCCGATCTGGTATAAATGTACTGCGTGCTGTGTACGGTGTGACCTCGCCAGAATTACCACTTATGGCGAGCTTACGCTTTCCTTTGTTGCCACCAGTGGGGTTCCACAAGGATGCGCTATCTCCTCATTCCTTTTCAATCAGGCCATTGAGGATGTCCACAAAAATGCATTAGAAGATTCGTTGAGCTGGCGTTGTGCTCCTCCCAAGCAGCCGAGTTATTGACTTGGACTACGCTAATCGACCAGCAGGATGATGAGCCACAGGCCATGCAACTTGCACTTAACCGCCTTGCGATGGAAGCGTCAAAGTATGGGATGGATTTTTCTCCATTCAAGTGCAAAACTCTTGTTCAAGACTTTCAGATGCCGGTAACTGAACTCATTATTGGTGGCGAGACACTGGAGGTTGTGGAGAGTTTTGTCTACCTAGGAAGCTGCATCACTGCCGGAGGAGCTGTTGGAGATGAAATCTCGATGCGTATCTAAAGAGCCCGTCTCGCTTTCTCTGAGCTGAAGTACTTGTGGCGCCGCCGTAACATCTATCTATCCATCAAAGGGCGGGTTTGTTGTGCGACTGTCCGCGCTATACTGTTGTACGGTTGTGAGACTTGGTCTGTTCATACGGTTGAGCTGCTCCGACTTTCTGTTTTCGAGCACCGTTGCTTGTGGTCCGTTGCCCCTGTGTAGTGGCTGCACCACGTAAGTAATGCGGAGGTTAGATAGCGCGTTTTGGAGAGAGACAGTCACTCATTCGAGGTGACTGTCTCGCTGCGTCAAATGGACAAAAAAGGTACCCTATTTTCATATTCCGTCATGATTACGATGGTGGAATATCTGTGCCACAGATTGTAATTAAGTGATAACATAAGTACCCACAGAGTGGTCACGCTCACCTGCTCGACTGTCATCGTACGCCAACTGGACATGCGTCGAACGTGCATACCACATGTACTGCGTGAAGCTTAGTGTGGCACTGACCAAATGTCACACGTGATTTTATAAATCCATTGCATGAGTGCCGTGAATTTATGCAAATTTAACATCCCTTCTCTGGGTACTACCGAGAGGATGATGGAGCTGGAGAAGGCAATGGCTACCCGCCTTGGTGAAGTCGACTCTACCACCTCCGACAGCGACCTGTGGCATCACATTAAAGAACAAGCGATCGCAGTGACCGAGGAAAAAATCGGATGCACAAACTGTAAGCGACCCGATTGGTTTGATGACAACAGTGCGCATTGGTGTCGGAGAAGGTAGCATTCGTTGCACATGTGGATGACCCTGCGGATGCAGAGAACAGTCAGATTCACAAACTTCGACGGCGATTGATTCGACGGCTCTGTCGCATCAAGAATGCCTGGTGGACGAAGAGGGCGGAACATATGGGATGCTACGCCGAACGTAGCCAACATAAGGAATCCTTTGACATCTTGAAGGCGGTGTATGTGCACACCTTGCAGCAGCTGGGGAAGCTGCTCGATGGTGCATGTGCCGCCTGCACACAGACTGTAGACATCATGCAAATCTGAAGAGAGAAATTCGACTGTCTCTTGTATAATCGTACAGTCTGACTGGACCACGTTGCACGGGCTGCAGCAACAAGAAATGATAATGTGTCTAGCCGACAAACCGACACTGGATGAGACGCAGATGAGACGCCTGAGAAACGGCAAGTGCGCCTGAGCCGACGGGATACCGCCAGATGTGTTGAAACACAACGGACCGCGTTGATACATGCACTGCACCACTTGGTGCGACGTGTGTAGTTTGAAGTGGTGTCAACTGACTTGTGCTACTACTAGGCAAGGACAAAGGAAGCAAGCAATGTGCCACTTGTGATCGCTCGAATCCTGCTCAACCGCCTCGTCACTCAGGTCGCTGAACCAAATGTGACAGAAGAGCAATGCAAATTCCGGGTCGCAACACAACATATGTTGTATTCGCGGATCGTCAACGGCAGGAGCTATGCCGGGGACGACACCAGCCCTTGTACTCGCCGTTTGTTGACTTCAATAAGGCATTTGATACGGTGAACCACGAGGCACTGTGGCTTGTATTGGGTGTTTGGTTGCTCGAGGAAGTTTTGAAGTCTGCACCGTGGTATGCGGGCGAGGATGCAGCTGAGTGGACAAACCTTGTGTTGTCTTTGGTGGGAAGCAAGGCTCTGTCGTAGCCCCTGTTTTGTTCAATATTTACATTCATACGATGCCTTGTGCTTTTGATGCTGCTTGTGATTACGGTGCCTGTGTGGAGTACCCCACTGATGGTAGGTAAGTGAACATCCGTCGTTTCATGGTGTGGACCCAAGTGTGTGAGACAACCATCCGTAGGTTACTGTGTGCCGAAGACTGCGTGTTGTTTGTACACAGCGAGGATGAGTTGCAGCACATGATGACGACTCTTGCCTCGAGAGCGGCCAAGTCCGGTCTCAGCATCCACAAAAGCAAGACTGTTTATCTTTTGCAGCCTTCAGTAGTAATGGAGTCCGTGAACCTGCCGCAAACCCAGGATGCGGATGACGTATTGCAGACAGAATCGAAATTCTGCTACCTGGGAAGCTTAATATCCACCGACCTACAGATGAAGAGCGATCTGTGCATCCGTGCATCGAAAGCCGCTGTTGCATTTAATAAGTCGTAATATCATGCGTCGAATGCTACGCATCGACGGGGATGACCAAGTTACAGACACAGAAGTGCTGAGCCGCGGAGGTATGTATGCACTGAACTGCATACTTCTGCTGCGGTACATGAGGTAACTGGGACCTCAGTCGCATGGATTCGATGCAGATACCCAAACAACTGTTATATGGACAACTCCGTGCAGAAAAGAGACAAGTGCTAAAACCGAAGTTACGTTACCAGGTGAGTTTATCACCAACTAACGTTGATTCCAAGCGTCAGGAATCAAAAGTATGTAATCGGCGCCAATGGTGTGAGCTTATCAGAAGGGCGGTTGCGCAAGTGCATGAAGAAACAAATGCCGGCTACGGAAACGTGATGCGCCGATGGGAGATGGCCCATCGACGTCAAGCGCATGCAGTCGTGAGTGTGCCTCAGTCAAGGTGGCCTGGTAAGTCACCAGAGCGGTCACGGCAGTCGAACATCGAAAAGTCGTTGAGTCAGCTGAACAGGTAAGCATCAGTACAGCGCTTGGTAAGCACGCTGCTTCTGATTATTTAGTAACCCAGGCCAATAGTGCGGTCGATGTGACACGCGTGTTGCATCATCGTAGCAGTTGGTTTACACGTGTATAAATGTACTGGGTTTCTTGCATTCCAGGTGTTGGTTGTTGATTGTTCCGCATTACACTAGATGCTTGCTCAGTTCTGCTACTAATCTCTATATTTACTGTTAGCAAAATCATCATTGCAATACATCATACTTGATACACACTTATTTCATTTGCTCTTTTCTGTCATTCTACCGATCATTTACTGTTCATGTTACGTGTTCATTCTCTTTCACATGCTGCGTTTGTTTTCTATAGCCCAGGTGTGGCTTCGATGGAGGCGAATGTTAGGAGGGTGTCTATCTATCGAAAAACTACCACCTCCATTGTGCTGACTACAAGAGGCAGCTGGTCGTTGCTTGGGGAGACGCGGTGCACGGTCTTTGTGATCGTCCTATGCCCAAAGAGTGGTTTCATCCAGTGTGGGACAGATTATGCCCCAGCCACCGTTTTGTGTGCGTCTGGCGCCGTTTCTGATTTCATCTACTAACCCAGACAAATAATGGGTTAGAAGTGACACGCGTGCTGCATCATCGCTGTACGTGAGCCTGCGTGTTGATTTTGCTTACATTTCAAATGTTGTTTTATTGACGTCTCCGGATTGGTCGCGTTTCATGTGAACGTTGACAAGGTGTACACTGAATATGGGGTTTGTAGATGGAGCTGTGTGTGATGCAGCACAAGCCACCCATGGTTCCTCTGTAGGCGCAGGCACTCTTGGCTGTGCTAAGGAGGCCGCAGTGACAGACAAAGTCGGAATCGGTTGCCGCCAACCACAATATACCCATTTATTTATTCATAAAGTAAAATGCTCGTAAGTTGACTACTTAAGCGACTGGGCTATAAGTCAAGTTCAAGCAATGAAAAATAAAGCGGCTGCAACCGTTGATGAGACTGGACCTTAACGTGGTGCGAAGGTTTGTGTGCCTCAGTGATCCATGGAGCTATGCTGGATGGTGTTTTTTTGAACCTTCAGTGCCACTCATACCAGATTGGTCAATGGTTAGAGGCCAGACAAACTCAGTTTCCTGGCCCTCCAGGTTGGGGGTTGGAGTGAGGGTGGCTTCTTACTCCATAAAACGCGCTCTTTGTAGTCCAGTGCCAAAACCCCGCTGTCTTGCGGTAAGGTTTCTGAACCAAAGGCTTTAATTGAGAACCCTAATTGTTCACCTGTCCAGGCCTGGGCAACCTGACAGCATCCTGCCCACGCAGTCCTATGAATCTTTCCTCAAACAATTTCCTGATACCCTGGCCACCGCAGAGGATAATCAACGGTGCCCTATCTGCTGCATCGAGCAGGGTGGATAGGGGTTTGGATGCTACTGCTCAAGTCTTCCAGCCTTCTTATTCCCCCTCTTGCGCTTTTTCATCCTTAGCGTCTCGCTCAGCTGTAGCTGAGGTGTGTTTCTCAACCTCAGCTAACGTGTACTGATGATGATGCCACCGTTGAACAGACATACGAAGCACTACCGGAGCGCACATAAGTAAATCATGCTGCTCGGAAGGTGATTTTCACAACCATCTACCCCAATGGTATGTTGGTGTAGGGAGGCCGTATGTACATAAGGCACATGACTAAATTGGCGATTTTCATACCCCAAAGAGTATTAATGCAAAACTATCCTTCATACTGTCACACGGTCATCATTGTCAATGAAGTGGTCAACCAGCTAACGTGCTAGTTTGTGATCCAAAGTACAGTGCACGAACAGTATTGGTCTAAGTTTTGTGGATCTCCAGTAAATCGTAAATTTGGGATGTGTAGATGCCCATTGACTTGAGAGAGCTGTGCGTCAAATTTGCTATCAGCCCACGCGGAAGCAACATTTTCTACTGTTTACTCATGATCTTTACGATGTTACTTTGGTTCTGCTTTTGTCTGGAAACTTTGAATTGGCATCCATCATGTTTTTCATAGTGAAAAATCCTCATGCCTTTGTGCGGTTTTAAAGCCATCAACCTTTGGATTTCAATTTACGTATTGCTCTGATGTAGTCGCTAAATAGGCAGTGAAATTGCCATGTTTGATTCTTATTGAAATTTGTTAGGATATTAAAATAGAGCCGTGAGCCAGTTACAATTCGCTTGAGAGGTCGGTGTTAACTTTGATAGTTGAGAAACCATATTTTAAAACTGTGCCTCAACGTGGATTCTATCAACATGCTTGGCATCAAATGATATAGGTTCAATTTGCTGCAGTTTCAAGATACAGAAAATAAACGAAGATGCCTAAAGCAACATCAGTTTTGAAGGCGGACTAATGACAGAGGATGCATGATGGATCCACTCCGTTGGTGTGTATCCATCAGGCATTCTGTTGGTCTCCTCTGGGTATCAATTCGCACATCGCATCGCTCGACGCTGTATATCCAAATACAGTTAGTCGTCACATTTAGGCCTCTCTGGTCCCCAATCCAGACCTGCAGTAATATATATTTGTATGCAACCATACAGGCGCGGATTATTGAATTTATCCCATCATCCTTAATGTGTTGTTGATTTGCTAGTGAGCAGACAGCATGAGATGGTACAATCTTTTAGCACTCGTTTCCTATTGTTGTATTTGGAGCAGTACAAAGAACTTATTGCTTCTAAATTCCATGAGGCTTTATGAGCTTGAATATAACCACTATATCGCAATCAAATGTTAACAGTCCACGACATGTCGATATCACGTATAAAATACAGTTGTCGTGCCAAAGGAGAGGAGCTTGTGAAAAGCAGTAAAACTAACCTTCACACGTAAAGTAGTCATTTTCTGATGGAACGCGGTATGCATCTTTGTGTCATCCTCATCACCAATTGAGTATATCATACCACATAAGGCGCATCGCGTGGCTCCGATATTTTTTTGCCCAAAATCCAATCGCATTTGCACCGGATGAAAAGGTTTTAATTTCGACCGACGCGGCATTCTACGAAAGGCAAAAAATAATAGGATACTATAAACAGTAGGTATGTGATGAAATGATGCATGCTCCATTTGTTGCGGATTGCAGTGACGGTGTACAAGGCTAGATTATCAACCCTAGGAAACAAATATACCTGGTCGAATAAAGGCGACAGTCGTTTTGATCAATCAAATTCATGTTTCAGCTCCACAGCTCCCCTTTCTGTAGAACCTACATTTAAAGTGGAATTTCTGAGACTGATTTTTAAGGTGGAAGACTATCAACAGTAATCCGGTTTCAACGTTGACAAGATATCGAAACGGTGTCTAAAAGTTTCAGGACAAATGTTGAGCGATAATTGATGGCAAGGACAGACGCTAATGAAAACAGCTGTGTTGTTTGCACTCGCTCGACGCACGGATCAAGAAAAATCTCGCGATTGAGGAAAATGTATCGAAGATTGGATCGATAAATTTGAAGAGTAATTCAGCTAGTCGGTTATGGCACCGTTTCTAGTTGCATTCCCTGAACCTCCTTGGGGCCAACGAGACTCGAAACGAACTAGCACCGGTAAGGCAGAACGAGATGCAGGTCCCGAAAAATTTTCCAAGGCTTTTGAATTACGAATGCAACTTGCTGGAGAAGTAGCTAGCCATTTTGCTCGGATTGTCTTGAATAGGTGCCATATGAGTGGCAGTTTTCAGCCATTATCGAGGCACTAGCACGTGAATCCTTCAAGGGCACTGGTGTGATACGCTAGGCTATGGATAAGTCGAATCAGTGGAATTCATGCGAGCCAACCCTCAGTGTATAAATGTAATAAAATCCGCGCTTCAACAAGCGCTAGTACAGATAAATACATATGGAAAAATAGATTCAATGAGTTGGTTGTGGCTGAGTGAGAAAAGGACTATCTGACGAACCTATGGGAGATATCACTTTCTGTTGCGAAATTCCTAGACCGAACACGGTACAGTGTACGGATCTGCGGAACCCATCTTCTGAGTTAACCAAGTCGAGTGTTCTCTGCTACGCTCGAATGAATCACTGATCGGTGATCGACTACCATATTCAGAATGCGCTGATCGGACATAGATATTTTGCAAGCGCTCCTGATAAGTATGACGAATAGCACAAGGTGTTTTTGCATTTATCATCTCCAGGTTGCCAAGCACCCCTTCAGAGCTGAGCCGACACAATGCCAGCTCTCGATATTACCAAACAACTGTACGAAGTGAGAGGATGTCTCACGTTTCTTCTCTGTAGGGAGAGTCCCTGGACGTCTCCTCATGAAGACCGCTGATTGCCAATAGAGCTAAGCTCCTCATGTAGCTAAGCGCCAGAACACAACCGCGTGGGTTGATGGATTCATGGTGCATTTTGTGCCGCCTTCCGAGAGTATGTTGGTGGACAGTTCGAGTCGTTCGCATGTTAATGTGTGGACGCTTTGGCAGTGTGGCAGCTCGAATGTGAAAAGCGAGCATAATAATTGCAAACTATCTCATGTTGCACCAGCCATCGTGTAGTTTGAAGTCACCTTATTTGATGTATATATCGGAGACGGACAAAGAAACACAAACACTATAGATGATAGGCCTGTATCATCTTAACAAGTGTATTAAACCCAGCGCGTTCAATGCCACTGGGACACAAATCCACGAACCGACAGCAAGTCCGAAGTAAGAATAATCACCCCCCATAAACAAATCACCCGCTGGCCTCTCTACATCCGTTCCTATCCAGACCTCGGATGGGCAAACAATGCACATCACGGAAGTTGATGTGCTGACAGGGGCCCAGTCATCGGAGCCTGGTGTATGAAATAATGATGTGACGAGGTTCACTTGCTCCTCTTGCGCCACAAACATGACGCCGAATACACTCATCCCTCAGACTGTTCCCACCCGCAAGGTGGTCGCACTACTGCCTTTGGATCCATCCTCTCGCTCAGAGGTTAAATGCGAGATTGAACTGCTGAAGTTGGATAACACTGCGGGACCAGATGATCCTCACTCAGCCCTCTTCAAATCCGGGGGCCTGCTCTTGTAGATGATTTACACTAGTTGTTACTGAAACCGTTGGAGCAGGAAACTGTCCCAATCGACCGGATCCGCTCCGTTATTGTCCCGACCTTCAAGGGAGGCTCACGTTTAGAATGCGACAAACAAAGGGATCTGTCTGAACTCCATCGTCTCGAAGTTACTTATCTCTGTCAAGTTTCACAGACTGCCCGGCACCTGCGAAAGCCAGATTCGCAAGCAACAAGCCGAGTTTCTTGGAAGTTGGGGCTTCATCGATCACATATTTGTTGCGTTTCCGCTGACACTACGGATAAGCACTCGGGTCATGATTCAGCCACTTCCAAGATCAGAAGACAAAAGCCTCTGGCGGAAATTGTAGACAGCACCCGGAAGACAGTATATACAGCCAAAATATGGTTTCAAAATAAGTGGTTCATGTGAGAATGACCTAACTGAAAGTTTCTGACTGTAGCAAATAACAGCTGCGCAAAAACTCGCTTGTTGGCTGTTCAAGTAGTGCGCTTACTGGAGGGCTTCAAGACAGGTAAAGGTAAAACGATGCCATTGGTTTACTCTCATTGGCTAGCCAATCAGCTTCAGGCGGCGTGCGATCAATCTCACCCGGGCTGCTTTAGAGAGAGCTGGCTTCGAGGGTTGCTACGGACGGGCTCCCATAACAGCCCTAAACTGACCGACAATCTTGGACTGATGTGCGCCATCTGTAGCTGATGGCAATATGGTCAATCTCATCATCATCATCATACACGTTAGCTAGAGTTGGGGAACACCTCAGCTACTGTGCCGCAATACAAAGAAAAAAGGAGAGAAAAAAACAACTGGTGAAAGCTAGCTGAGCTACCGGTAACGGATGGGCATCGTACCGGTAAGCTACCAGCCGGCTACTGTGCACCCATAAATAATTATTGTGCAAAACCATATAAGGCTAAGTAATGAGATTGTGGTTGGAGGGTGAGGCTAAGAGGGATAGGGTGGGACAAAGAAACTCACAGCACGAACGCCACTGAGGTCGGCTCCTAGCCATATCAGCAAGTGTGTCCAGCCAAACGTGTTCATCGTCTTTTGGACCCCAACCAGGGAGCCGAGACGCTCCAACCGAGGCCAGCTCAGAAGTGAGGGCCTTCATTCCTCTGGACCAAGTCATCGCTTGGCCACCCCTCCTCTTCTTCCATCCACACCTCGGGCGCGCAAACAACACACGTCGCGGAAGTCGGTGGGCTGGCATGCGTAACACGTGGCCGAGCCATCGGAGCCTGATGCGTGAAATAACGGTGCTGAGCGGTTCATTTCCTTTTCCTGTGCCATAAACAAGGCGTCGAACATGCACGTTACTCACGCGGTGTTCCCACCAAATGTGAGCTAAATTACGAAGGCACCGGTGGTCGAACGTAACTAGCCTATTCAGGTCCGCTGCTTTAAGCGGCCAGGTTTCACAACCGTACAATAGGGTCGAACGTACTGCTGCATTGTACACTCTACCCTTCAGGGCAAGACTGATGTCGCGCCGGCGCCATAAGTGGCGAAGGTTAGCAAAAGCGCCCCGAGCTTTTGCTATCCGATTCGTGATTTCATCTTCAATCCCACGGGCGCTGATACAACTTCCCAGGTTGCTGAATTTTTGAACGACTTCTAGCTGATCCCTACCAAGGGTAAGCGTAGGAGGCGGTCCAAACCAATCTTGTAGGAACGCTTTGTACTTCGAGGGTGCGAAGCAAAGCCCGAAGTGACGGACAGCTAGTGCTAATCTGTCCAGTGCCGCTTGGCACGTTTGTGAGCTGTCACAGATCAGGGCAATATCATCAGCAACTCTAAATCAAGAAATCGTTCTCCTGGGAGTAGCTCCACACCTTCTAAGTTGTGTCCTGTAAACGCGATTTCCATGACTTCGTCAACAGCGAAGTTGAAGAGGAAAGGTGACAGCGGGCATCCTTGTATCACGCCGCTGGAGATATTAAAGGGCGACGACAACTTGCCGTAAGCCCTCACTCTGCCCGAGCTACGTGCACATAATGCTCGGATAATATTCACATATTTCTCAGGTACACCACCCCTGAGTAGACAGTCCCAAAGTGCATGTCTATCCACCGAATGGAATGCACCTTTGATGTCGAGGAACACGACAACGCTGGGCCGCCAATATGTGTGACGGGGCTCCAACAACTGACGCAAGGTGAAGATGTGGTCAATGCAGCCACGACCTCGACGAAATCCAGCTTGCTCTTCACGAATCTGGCTTTCACGAGTGCCAGTCAGTCTGTGAAGGATGACAGAGGCAAGCAATTTGGAGGCGATGGAGATCAGACTGATTCCTCTATGGCTGCCGCATTCCGATCGTGAGTCTCCTTTGAACATTGGGACTATGATGGATCGGCTCCAATCGGTTGGGACGGTTTCCTGCTCCCACAGTTTCACTAGTAACTCGTGTAAATCATCCACAAGAGCAGGTCCCCCGAATTTGAAGAGGGCTGGAGGAAGGTCACCAGGTCCCGCGGATTTATTTAACTTCAACAGTTTGATCTCATGTTCGACTTCTGAGCGAGAGGGTGGATCCAAAGGGAAAGCCCAGGGAGTGGGGCGATCACTGGTCGGCGAGAAATCTAACAATTCCGATCGATTAAATTGCCTTTCAAAGTGCTCAGCCCAACGTTCCAGGCGTTTTGATAAGTTGTGGATAGGCTGTCCACTCTCGTCACGTATAGTTTCACTAACACCAGGTCTCCTGCTGCCCATTTCCCGTATAAGACGGAATAACTCACGATGGTTACCTAGGGCAGCGGCCATTTCCATCTCTGCTGCACGACGAGACCACCAGGATTCGCGGTCTCTCTTCAGGCTAGCACGGAGTTTTGCCCGGAGCTCTTTGCGAGTTTCATTGTGTTCGCTTCCAGCCGGAATATGCCGGCGAGCATCTATAAGTTCCAAAGACTGTGTAGAGACCCAATGTTCATGTTGGCGATTAGACACACCACATGAGGATTTGCCTGCTGCTAGTAAGGCCTGTTGCATATGAGACCAGTGAGCTTCAATTGCATCCAGTGAGCGTTTATCCAACT